TTTTCAGGCATTTACCTTTCGAATTAAATGAGTTATTAAATGCTGTTTATATTCCCCATCTCGGTTATTTGATTTCTGTTAATTTGGATCCTAACATCGACATTGAACAAATCAAATCTGATGATTGGGAAGAAATATTCAAAACAACAACNACGATTTATTTTAAAACCAATGAAACTCGAGAAATGGACGAATATTATGGTGATATCTACAGACTAATTGGTGATCTTGAAATTGAAATTTTTTATGAATTGCAAATTATTATACTAGAACAAGAGAAAATGCTATGTCAGGCATGTTTGCTATTGGCAGAATTAGATTGGTATGATAAATTTAATATAACCAAGTTTTTTTTGTTTTTTTTTGTTTTTTTTTGTCTGNTTTTGTACTAACAATCAGTTAAGTTTTCTATCTTTAGCAAAAGCAGCTTCCACTTATAACTATGTCAAGCCAAAAATGACAATGGATATAGTTCTAGATATCAAAGAAGGGCGGTATGTTTTTGGTTCATAACTTTTCTGATAATAAATCTTATATTTGCAAACAATACTAACCTTTAAAATCAAGCCATCCTTTATATGAAACAATTGCTGCCACATTTGTGCCAAATGGTATATATTTAAATGGCTCTACTTCGAACGACGAAAAGTGGTTTGAAAATGGGTTTGAAAGAATATTATTACTAACTGGAGCGAATTTTTCAGGAAAATCTGTATATTTGTCCCAATGTGCTTTAATTACTTTTTTAGCGCATATTGGCTCATATGTTCCTGCATCAAAAGCAACCATAGGCTTGACTGACAAGATACTAACAAGAATAATGTCAAAAGAAAGTATTTCAAAGATGCAAAGCACTTTCCTAATTGACTCTCAGCAGATGTCTAAATGCTTGAAACTAATGACAGAAAAAAGTTTGCTTATAGTTGATGAATATGGAAAAGGAACTGACATAATTGGTATGTTAAAAAAAAAATTCAGTAATTTTATATTTCCTCACTAAAATCTTTGGATTACTAATTCAAAAACATAACACAGATGGCCCTGCACTATTTGGCTCTGTTATTAAATACTTATCAAATCATCCAAAATGTCCAAGAACCATTGCATCCACACATTATCATGGTAAGTGGCATTTATAATTATATTTTTTTTTGAAAAGCATACCCTAACATGAAAGAAAAGAAATATTCAAAACTAATATTATAGACAAAATCAGCGGTTTGCATCATTATCAAATGGAAATTATATTCTCGTTAGAATTAGACGAATTCCATAATCCTGGAAATAACATAACTTATTTGTATAAAATCAGAGAAGGAATTGTGCAAAGCAGCTTTGGAATCTAGTATGTGAACCTTAAGATTCTCACTACAAACCATGAAGAGATNTAGTATTGACATGAACAACAGCTGTGCAAAAATGTGTGGTATTAAACATTCTATCATTAAAAGAGCAGAACAATTGCTTGATATTATTGAAAAAGGTGAGGATCCTGTAATCGCCTGTTCAACATTAACAGAAAGTGAAAAAAAATCATTGATAATAGCTGTAAGTATTAACCAAAAAAATCAAAATCACCATCTAAAAATATATTCAAAACAAAATTTTCTAACAATATGCAGAAAGAGGTTTCAAAACGATTTTTGAAATTGGATATAGATAAAACAAAGCCTGAAAAATATTATCGCGATGCGCTAGAAGAAATTTTAAACTTATCTGATCAGGAATAACTCCAATAACTGCAAATTACACGAGGAAAGAACATCATGCTAGTTGACTTAAATTCTTCAAAGTCTTGAAATAAAAAGTATAAATTACAATTTAAATGAACATATTAAAAATGCAAATAGAATTAAGTGAATTTGATGGAACGAGATACATTCTGTTTGATACCAGTCTTCTCACCATCATAAGAGCCTTGCTGTCCACCTGAGTATACAGCACGAACACTTTTAAGTTTCTTTTGTGCTTTATCGTATTTCTTTCTCTTTTTAACTCTTGCATTTCTGTTTGTGTTGGAACGTTTGGGAGTGAGTCCTTTGTTTTTAAGAATTTGATAATTGATTGCTCTTTTACCATCCTCGTCAACAGACTCCTGCATTTCTTTCAATTTTCCTTCCTTGGCTGCTTTTACCACTTTATTATGGGCATTTTTACGCTTCTGTTTTTTCTCAATCTTGGAACTCATGATACTTTCATAATAAGAAACACCTGATCCATCGTTGTTTATATCTTTTGCTAGTTTTTCGTCATCAGAATTTACATCGTTATCGTCAAGATCAGCCCCATATCCACTATCTTTTTGACCACGTTTGCGTGCTTCCTCAATGAGTCTTTGCTGTCTTTCAAACAAACGTTCTTTATAAGGAAGATCCATATCACCAGTGTATCTTGAATCCTTTTTGTTTGCTTGTTGGTCAATTTTTGAGGTGTAAAATCGCAAGTTACGTTTTCGAGCCTTCTTTTCTTCAACATCAACATCAGCTGCTCCACTTTCAAAGAAATCAGGTGCATTTCCAGCACGTTTCTTTATTGTACGTTTGATAGTAATATCAAAATCATCTTCACCATAAATTNTGCTTTCCACTGATTCATCAGAGGATATTTCCTCTTCTTCTTTTTCGTTTTGCACCGTATTATTATCTTCTATTTTAGATAACTGTTCTTCATCATCACTCTTACTGTAGTCTTCGTCGATTTCCATTTTTTCTTCATTGTTTGTGGATATATTAGCATTCGATGGTTTCATGTTACCATTATCAATACTATTTTTATCATCTATATTATCAGGTAGCTCATTTGCTTGTCTCCAAACTTCTCTGCAGTTCAATATACTTTCCATTATGGAATGACCTCTCATTGAAAAGTCGTCTGTATTCAATTGCGATATGAAAATCGCAAAATAATTAGTGATTAGTCCAAGGTAGGATGATAAAGCTGTAAATTTAATCTCTAATATTTCATTTCTATCATTTTGAGAAGATAATTTGCTAAGAACCGGCAATAACTTGTTGAACTCATTTGATAAGGGGATGAATTCAGGATAGGTTGTTTTGACATATTGTAATCTANATTCTTTATCCAATTTACTAATATTGTCTTTCACAGAAGACTCTTGTAGTGTGTTTGAGTTCAAAATTCCAGATCCATCTTGATCAGAAATAGAAAATTCTTTGACTTTCTCAAACCAAGTGGACTGAATGTCTTCATCAACAT